CTTTTTTTTTTTTCTTTTTTCTTTTATTTTTTAAATATCAAGAATATGAAGGTACATAAAAGGAATAATTAGAAGATAAAAAAAGAAAAAGGTAAAAATAAAAGAAGGCACAAACACGAACACGTTGTGATAGAGGACCAAAAGATTGGGGGCGATAGAATTTTACCATTTTAAGAAAACCCTTTACAATATGTCACATGTAACATCTCCAACTGGTTCAAAGGGCAGCCCCCAATTGCTGGCTACTTATTTTGAAATTGACAGATGCCATATTGTTTTGTCCATTAATTAATTAGAACATTTTCTTTAATTAAAAAATAAAATAAAATAGGCCCACTTGCATATATGTACCCATATCTGACCCTTCGTTAAAAAAGCTCTATACAGTAATTCCCAATAAATTTAATTAAATAGTTCCAATTCCGTATTCACACATTATAAAGTACAATAATAACAAATATTATTTCAACTTATAGTCATTTTCACAAGTCCAAATTAAGGCTAAGGTTGAAACATGAAAGAAACATAACACTAAGTCAAGTAGCCCTTATTGAAGGACCCATCTTTATTTATTATTGTCTAGACAAGCATGCATGAATCACGAACTCAGTTCAAAAAATAAAAATAAAAAATTCGGGTATTTTATGTAACACATTTCTGTAAGAAAAATTTACCATTATACTTTGAATGAAATTAATTCCTTCTAGAGAGAGAAAGAAAAAGCAAAACCTTGAATCCTCTTGATTATTGCCCAAGCTTTAATGAGAAGCCATATGAGATGCTATCTTTTCAAGGGTTATTCCTCTTATCTTTATTTAATTCCTCCCTAAAAAGAAGAAATAAGAAAGGAAAAAAAAAAAGAAAAAAGGAAAATAAGATGTTGATATTTGTAACTATATTTGTGTTTGGAAAGGATCTAAGCTATTCTCAAGCCTATCAACTGATAGCGAGACGCAAAATGCATCAATAGGTTGCTTTATATAAAATTTTGGTGACTTGTCTTACAACTTTGAGTCACAGCCGTTGAACATGTGTTTCATTTGATATTCTCAACCCCAAATTTTACATTGTGTGTAAAAAAATATTGTGGACCACGACTAATATATAGTAGTATATACAAATTCACCTAAATATTTCAATTGTGGCTAGGTAAAATTAACTTATTCACAAATGTTATAATAGTAAACCTAACTCCATCGATCTTGCCCGATACTTGCCTTTCATCCTCAATTTCCCCCAAAATTTACGAAAAGTTTAATAAGTGAATGCGTTTGTGTGGTATAATTCTAAAATATTGGAATTTGCAGGTGGTCGAAAATTGCAAAACATCTACCTGGAAGGACAGATAACGAAATAAAGAACTATTGGAGGACTCGAATTCAAAAGCACATTAAGCAAGCCGAGAACAATTGCACGACCAGCCAATTAGGCGGCGATCAGCACAACACAGATCAAGTCAGCACGAGCCAGATTTCAGGCTATGGCCCGACTGATCATGCAGTCGAGTCCTATTCCCCAACCTCCTTGAATGGGAATGTGGAAGCTTATCAAGGCCCTTTTCCCACTTACCAAACGAATGAAAGCCTTTGGGGCATGGAGGATCTTTGGTCCATGCATTTGCTCAATGGGGATTAAGTTAAATGGATACGTAATCTTGATCTCCATTGGAAGAAAATCTCCGCCTGCCACCGTAAGACCGATAACCCTAAGTATGAATCTATGTTGTCGACCACGTTGTATAAATCAATTAATCAATTAATTAATTAGTCTAAGTTGATTAATTTTCATAGAGCTATATGGTTTTTGGGATATGCTTGTATGGTGTTGTTTTTATTTTATATGTTATATATGATATATATGATACAAATTAAAGGGGTGATTTTGGTTACATATGTCTAATTGTTTGTTTATGTATATGTACATTTTTAGTACGGATCATATGATTTTGTAAATGATTGTGTGTGTGTATAGAGAGAGTTTCATTTGTTTCTATAAATGCATGTTTAGGATATGAGTTAACTAACCTTGTTGGATTAGCAAAATTAGTGCGTACGTACTTAAAAAGTGAATAATATTCGAGTGACGATGATTAATTAGTTTGGTGTGAGTGACGTCGTTTGTTTCATTTTCATGTGTTTATCACAATTTACTAGAAGCATTGCTATCTAATTACCTTTATACGTTGTGAGGTAGACTTTGCTTTAATTATCAATCAACCGACTCAAAAAGTCGTGTCTTAATCAAACGCGACGTTCTCTTTACTGTCCCTATCTAAATTTCACACTCAGATTAAAAATGTCTTACACTTTGTTTGCAAATAGTTTTATATGGAATTTTACACATCATTTGAAAATTAATTTATAATTAGTGTTAAATTAAGAGTAATCTTATTATAAATCGATACTAAGAGAAACTCATTTTGCATACACCTAGTGTGAAATGTACATACATGCACAAAATATATGAGTTGTGCTTGCATGATATCACAATTCACACGCACACACACGGATACATGCGTGTGTGTGTAAGCAAAACAAGGTTGATGTTGAAGATTTGAATTGATGCGTGGAACAAATACCTAACACAAGCGAGGGTAAATAGGCACGTGGAAAGTTGGTATAACTATTTTTGGCAAATTTGAGTGTCCACTTTCTATATGAGAGCTATTTTAGTTCATAGCCGACCCGATTTGGAGTTGGACTGCTGCCTAACTCTTAGAGCGCTTATTGGGTAATTCGCACGTGCTGCATTTTTTTTTTTTCTCTCATTTTTTTATTATCTATTTTTAAAGTCGTTTAATAAGTAAAAGAAAATTTTATGATTGATATTATGTAAAGGTGACATCACACTAAAGGAACTTAATTTCTTGAACATGCATCCAATAGTTTTACTTAGTTTTGGTCTTCGGATTAAATTCTCCAAGTAGTTGATTAAGGAACACTCGCGCAATTGAGTGAAACTGCTGCATGTGTGCGTGTAGGGCTGCAAACGAGTCGAGTCGAGTCGAGTATTGACTTTATCGAGTAGGACTAAATTTTTTATTTTAGCTGCTCGAGCTCGACTCGATAAAAAATTACAATATCTCGAGCTCGACTCGAAATAAAAATACTCGAGCTCGGCTCGAGTTCGGCTCAAAATTTATTAAGTGAAAAAATAAAATTACCATTAAGCAGCTATGATAATATATATATATATATATATAAGGGGTATTTTAGTAACTTCACATATATTTCGAGCCGCTCAACAATACAAAATATGGGATCGAACTCGACTCGAGTTCGGTCAAACTCGAGCTCGAGTCGAGCTTTGACTCGAGTGTTCGCGAGCGGCTCGTGTGCGTGCAATTCAATTTTTTTATTAAAAAAAAAATCAGTGATTCTCTACAAACATCACATTTAAGTACAATCTATTCGAAGAGAGGTACTGTCCTTCGGTCTATATATGGTCTACTATGTAAACTGACCAGTTAAAATGGGCTTTCCTACATTTGGCCCACTTTGATAGTTTACGGGTAAGATTGTATAGTGGGTCCAAATGGGCCAGTAATACTTATCACGGGCGCATTACTCGGACCCATGGCAACGAGCTCCAAAAAATCGATCATTTTTATTGAAAATTAAAAAATTGAAATCTTGACAGAAAATTAAAGTGTGCTGAATGTTTACCGCATGTAATTAGCTGATGGATTCACACTCTCTGATGGGGTTTTGTTCCTGAAATATGGGTTCAGTTATGATTGAAGATTGCAATCTTCAATTTCTTAGATTTTGAGGCTTGTATTGACTGAAATCGAGGAGAATGTGCATTTATAATTCTGTTTTTCAAATGCATAGAAGAGTGTATGAAATGAAGAGCGTTTTTACTATATACAATCCCAGGTTTTGAATTGATTCTTCGAACTCAAGTTAAGTCTGTTGAACTGCAACAGGAGAGATCATAGGATTCAAATATCCTCTAAATTCCAATTTTTTATGCTTTAATTTTTTATGCTAGTTAGAAAATGAAATTATTAAAAACGTATGTGAGAAAGGTTTTCTTTTTATTATTATTTCAAAACTTTTAAAAAATGGCATTATTATTTATATAGAAAACGAGACTTTTCATTTTTATGATTTGCCCGTCTGATACTATAATAGTTTTTCTAATTCGTATGTAATGAATTTATATATAATTTTTTAATTGATATATAATTTTCTTAATTTTTAATTAATATCAATAGATTATTTAACTTTATAATAAAAAATAAAAGTATTTTATTTATTTTATGGGTGCAATATGGGTATCAAATCGAACCTCGTCAAAAGATGATTAGTTTGATATATTATATGTGAAAATTTGATGACAAATACGAAAGTTATTAATCTTTTAAATATATTTGTAACTTAATTTGTAAGGTTTTGTATGGCTTCAAGCAATTTCTCTTATTAGGGTCCGAATGTCACGAGGATGGGTCGAAAATGACAAGCCTCAGTCCCCTTTCGTCAACCTCTCAAAATGAGTCAGCCCCTTTTCGTAGCACCTCTTGCAAAGGATCGGCTGAATATACAAGGAAGACCTTCACCAAACTCACAATCCTTATCATAAAGATTTCGAATGATACAAAAAGGTTGGGATAATTTTGACACAAAGTCGAAAAGAGCTGAGAACGAGAGCGAGAGTGTAAGAGATATATTAGAACACAGAGTATAAGTTGAATATCCTAATGGTCACGTAAGAGATATTAGAACCTTGGATAGTACCAGGTATTTTTAAAGAGGGCAACGAACGAACGGTCGAAATCAAGCCACTTAAATACTAACGATCAAGATCGCATGAGATCAAAATGGGCTGCTAACTGGACTCGGACCAAAACATCAACAAAAAGATGTATATATTTTATAAATTATTTTACTTTTAGTTCAATGGAACAAACAAAAACGTTTTTTGTTTTATACAATGGCTACCCTATGGTTGTGGGTTATTTTTTTTAGTTGAGTTAAAATTTATCTCATTCAATTGATAAATTAAAAAAAAAAAAAACAATAAATACTATCTGTTTTCATCTCAATTATTTTTAGAATTTCATCAACACAATTAAAACATAAAAAAATAATAATCATTATATATTTTCTTACAAACATAGTATCCATTCATTTATATATTTTAATAACCAATTTCATTAATTAGTATTTTCTTATTTTTTTTAACAACCCATTTATATATTCTTTTTTTCATCCACTCTGAAACTTATTTTATTCTATTTAAAATTAGTTTTTCTATTTTTATTTTTTTTTTTTGTTTTTTGGGGGACTAGACGAGATTTTTTCTCAGGATTAGAATATAAAACAAATTTAATACGACAGTCCAGACTCCAGAACGAATCCCTGCCACGTTTGATATCTCCTTGCTGCTCTGTCAGCTTCATACACCGAAAGGAGAACCGACACGTGTCAGTCGCCTGCCTGTATACTTTTTACCTTTTCGTTTCTAATTCACTCTCTGCCCAAGCATACTCGCAGTACTCGCCTTCTCGATGCGCCACGTCGACTTTCATGACCATAACTTACCGTGGTTAAACACCACGCTCATGCGGTGAATATTGTCCGATTGAGAGAATCTTGAAAAGCTTTATCCAAAATTTCAAAATTAACAGATGCGAAACGTCACCGCTGGGAAAATCAACTGCGCAGCTCGGCATTTATTCTCCGTACTAAAAAAAATTAAACCTTTCGCTTTGAAAAAATTCCTCAAAAATCCTTTCGTTTTCTCAAAACCCTAATCGCTGTGAGGTAATTGTCAAACATTTATCGGTCTTTTGTGAACCGTCTGAGGATATGATTTCGAAGAGGATGCCTTTTTGGAAATTACTGCGTTGATCATTAGCTGGAAAGAACTGTTTCTTGTTTTCTTTTATCCAGGTAACTTGTTTTTGCTTTCCCCCCTTTTTCTTTTGTCTTTTTAGCTTTGAAGCTCGTAGACTCGTTCGTGTATGAGAGAAGTGATGTGTTCTTGTTAGAGAAATTTTGCTTGCGATTTTAATTTATTTTGATAAATTTTGTCGAAGGGGTTTTAAGGAGGAAAAGCCCTAGAGTGTTTCTGATTTAATTCTTTTTTCAGTCATATTCAATTTATTTTAGTCATTTGTTAATTACTGGGTTTTTGTAGATGTTTATGAAGTTTCCTTCTTGTCGTTGTATCTGCAGTTGTGGTTATCCAGGTGTTTCGGTAATATTATTGAAGGGGGCAAGAAAAATTAAGGATTTTTTTGGTTTACTGTATAAAAATGGCGAGTTTGGAAGATATTTCTCAGGCGACGAAGATTCCCGATAATGAAGGGGATAAGCGTGTAGGTAGAGTTTCTGAAGTTGAAAAGGCTGGAGATGGTTCTTCTCCTGTTGAAGAAGTTGTTGAGACGGAAACTGTTGTAGAGTCTAAATTTGATGGCAGTCATGGTTTGGTTGATAATGAGAAAGTGAAAAATGGTGTTCTGGGCTTTGCCAAGGATCGGGCCGCAAATACTGTTGCTAAAATGAATGATATTTCTGGTGGTGATGAAAAAAATGGCGAGTTTGTTGTTACGGGTTCTCCAATTAACGTGAATGGTGTTGGGAATATTGATGAAAAACAGAGGAAAGGTGGAGAAAAATGTTTAGAAGCTTTTGTGGATGCAAATGGTCAAAATCAGGGGATTAATAATGGCGAGAAAAGGCAGGATTTGGACAGTATATTTCGTGTTGGTGATTTTGTCTGGGGTAAAATCAAGAGCCATCCATGGTGGCCAGGGCAGATTTACGATCCGCAAGATGCTTCGGATTTTGCGGTCAAACACAGCCAAGAGGGCCGTTTATTGGTGGCCTATTTCGGAGATGGCTCTTGTTCCTGGTGCCTGCCTTCCCAACTCGAGCCCTTCGTGGAGAATTTCAATCGATTTTCAACCGAAAGCTCCACAAAGAGTTTCCAAAATGCATTACATTGCACGGTGAATGATGTGGGAAGGCTCGTCGAGCAAAGCATGACGTGTAAGTGTGTGCCTCCGGTTAAAATCGATGGGCTAGCCCAAAAATTGGTGTCTAATGCAGGGGTTAGAGAAGGAGTTGTTGTGCCGGAAGTTGAAATTGGGCGAATTAATATCCCCAAATACGAACCCGCTCAAATTCTTGAAAAAATGATGAACTATGGAAAATTGAGTTCCTTTGACTCGTTACTAGATCTTGCGCTCGTGAGAAGTTGGTTATCCGCGTTTTATCATGCGAGGGGTGGTCACAAGTTGCCGATGTATCGTGAGCCTGTTTGCATTGAAGGTCTTGAGGATAAGAACAAACCCATGAAGGAAATTGCATCTTCTGAAGATTTTAGTGTCCCGATTGAGGTCCCTATTCTGGGCCCAAGAGAGGATTTCTGGCTGTCCTCTCCTGAGGTTAATAAGTCTCAGGCTTCTGCGGATGATAAGATTTATCATAGGAGGAAGCAGAAGAGTGTTGCGGAGCTTTTGGGAGAGAATAACGGAGCTGGATCGAAAAGTTCGAAGAGAGGTAAAGTGAAAGCAGAAAAGGATGTAGAGAAAAAAACCGAGTTGGGAAAAGGGAGGGCAGGTAAAAAGAGGAAGTTGGAGGATTTTGATGGAGATAAAAGTGAGAATGAAGTGAAAAAGGGTCCTTCATCTGGAAAACCAAAGGAAATCGAAGTTGGTGTTGATGAAATTATTTCTGGTGATGAATTAGAAAAGATAATATCTTCACCAAGGGAAAGGAAAAGGAGCAAGTATCTGTCTCCTCCTTATACTGATCCTAGCTTCAGCCTTTCGAGTTTCGGTTCCAAGGCGAAATCGGAATCTGGTAGTAAATCTACCAAATTAGTTGATGAAGCATTTGATGAAGAACTGCCGATTGCTCAGTTGAAAGACCTGGAACCGAGCAAGAAATGGAGCTTTGCAGCCTCTGATGTTGATCTGCAAGTTGACGAGTTGCTGTCTGAAGTCCAGTTTGCTGCTGTTGATCCTTTGTACCTGAGCAAGAAAGGTTCTCTTGATCCAGTCTGTGCATTTATGTCTGCTGTTAGAAAATCAACTTACCTGCAAGGTTCAGATAATGAAATATTTCAAAAATCCAAAACTGGGGGAAAGAAGAGAAAATCGTTTAAAGAACAAGAAAATGAAATAGCTCCAAAAAAGGCGATATTGGCTGACGACACTAAAATGCCCAAACCAGTAAAAAAGCATGAAGGGAAAAAGTCAGATAAACCCAAGGTAAAAAAATCCTCAGATTTCTCTCGTGCGAAAAACAGTGTAGAGACGAACTCTGAAGGAAGTGCATCCACTTGCCTGATTGTAACCTTCACGCCTGGATTTCCCCTGCCCTCAAAGGAAGAAATCCTGGGGCTCTTTGGTAAATTCGGTAGCCTTAATGAAAATGAAACCAATGTGTTGACCGAGTTTCAAGCGGTTCGTATTGTATACACAAACGAATCTGATGCCGAAAAAGCTTTTACATCTTCCGTTAAGGAAAGCCCGTTTGGCATTGACAATGTCAATTACTGGTTGCAGCATTCTTCGGCTGCCTCGAAATCTGGGCCGTTGATTTTCCCCCAGACTTCTGATAAATCGGGCTCTTCTCAAGAGGTGGATGATTTTATGATGGACTTTAGGGCTGTCGGGCAAAAGCTCGAGATAATGACTGCTATTCTTGAAAACTACCACCCCAAATTTTCGACTGAGGAAAAATCTGGCTTGAAGGAAGACATAAAGCAGCTGATGGAGAATGTGGAGGCAATGAGTGACAAGGTACGAGTCATGGCTGAGAATACTACTTCTTGAAGAACATTTCGAGTTATGGGGCGTTTTGTGAGCATAAAAAGTTAAAAACTATTAGTGTTCAGTTCTCTTTTGAGTAGCGTATTGCCTTGCAGCGACTTTTTATCGAGATAATTAACTGCCGAGTCTGTTAATTTCGTTAGGAGTAGTGTATAATGTTTTATTATCATCATAGTGCATAGAAATGGGATTATCTCTTAGTTTCTGTAGTTTACCAGTGGAATGGTTTATTTGAACATAGTTTCTGCTTTGTTCGTGATGAATTGCTTGCATCTCATTTCCCTGCATATGTTTTTTTCTTAGTTTTCTAAGTGTTTTGAAGTAATAATGCTCTAACGTAGTCGGCATATATTGGTCGTTCTCGTTTATATGCTCGTGTTTTTGGCTTTGAGATGCATTTGCTGTATTTGTGATGGTTATTTTATCTTTTGCACAGGGAAGTTAGTATGAACTGTGAAGTTAAAGTACTGGTTGGCTTTTATTGCTTGTGCTGTTTTTAGGAACTTTTTGAAAATAAACTGCACCTTCTATATTCTGTGATGTAACAACAAACCATAACTTTAGATCATATTGCAAATGTATAGCACTTGAATGAAATCTGAGATTGTTTTAAGCTTGAATTCATCTGGATTTAAGTATGATTATGGATTTATGGTATTGTGATATGGTTCAGAATATCTTCGCATAAGATCAGGTTGCTCAACAGCAGAGCAGTTTTATTGTTGGATAGTTATAATTTCTGAACAAATGCGCATGCTTCTTTTTACACAGGTGACATGCTTTAAAAAATAATAAAAATAAAATTATGTCATTTCTATGTATAAGTACTAGGAGGGTAGGGCTGTGCAAGGCACAGCCGGCCCAAGTTTGTTTACTAATCCTATACGAAGTATTGAAAACATAAAAAAGAAAGAATTGGATGATCAAAAGATACAATACACAAAAGCATAGTCATGGGCATAACACATTGAGTATTTTCCTTTTACAGAATCGAAAAGCATCTATATGTAAATAGATGCATTTAATTCTGTTAAGGATTTGACTACAAAATATCAGTTTTTAGGTAGGTTTTTTTAACCTTGCAAATTTCAAATTTGTACACAAAAGAAGCATCCATTCTTCATGTTTTTCTAGTTCAAAAGTCAAAAGCTTGATGTGTCGAGCCAAAAGTCAAAAGCTGTAGGTGTCGAGGCGTCAATCCATTTTGGGTCGACTTTTCTTTGAAGGCCTGGCAGGTAGATCTTTATGTGTTTCAAGATTGAACTGACTTGGTTTTGGTGAAGCTTGTTTTGATGGTGTGGCAGTTGTGATTGAGGAGGAGGCTATTGGTTGGGTTTCAAAGTTGATGCGCTTTTTAACAAGTGGTTCTGAACTCCCGATGGTTGGATCTTTCTCATTTTTCATGGCAACAGACTGGAGCACATTTTTGAGTGTTGGGGTGAAGAGTTGTTTTTCGACAACCTGTTTCATAAAATAGAAGAGTTATTGTAGGTCATTGATAAAATATGAATGTGAAGAACTACAAATTGCCATTGTATTATATTGCACCTGGGCTGATGATGAACTGGCTGTGTCTTTTTTGGAGAGTTGTTCTTCATGCATATTCTTCTCGGTGTTCATGTGGTCAGAGGTATAAAGCTTTAGAATTGTATGATAACCAGACTCAGTATACTTGATGAAACAGACAACGCTGTGCTTTTCTATCACTGCTTCAATTTCACCTTTTATGTTTTGGCCCTGCACAATCAAAGTATATTGATTACAATCAGTTTAAGTTAGTGTAAAGTTTTATAGCAGAAGCCAATCTATTATATAAAGTCAAATGTTTTAGGTATACATAAAAGGAATGTAAATGTATAAACACATTATGTGGTGTACAGTAGGAAGTGAAGATATTTAATAACTAATGTGTTATGGTAATGACTAATACTTATATATCACTTTTATCATTAAAAAAGTTCAGCAAGAAGAATACTAACATTTTTCTCTGCTTCATACAAATCATTCCCGCTGAACGGGATAATTCTTTCTGCATCAGTCCCATAGATTATTGCGTATATTGTTCCTGTTTCATCTTTAATTTCCATTGGAATCCGACACCTATTATTTTAAAAAACAAAAATTATGTAGTAGACTACCATGTAAGATTATAGTGGTTCATTGTAATAATAGTATTTTGGTATTATGAAAACTACGTACCTTGCTTCAACGTAAGTATCCGCCTGGCAGCTTCGACATTTCATTGCTGTGTTTGGTGGCATATTGTAATTCTTGCGGCAGTTGCCGCACGTGGCTGCCCATAAGGATTTGGCGTCGCTTGCGAGCTTCATTTTTCCGCTGACCCAACAAGTCTTCGTCTGAAGCAGATATTGAGAGTATATAGACTTAAGCCTTTCAATTTTATCTTCAGCATATAATAATTTAAGCATCTAATAATTCAAGCAGTTGGATAAGTATTTACATTTTATATACTACAATGAATAATCATCAAGCAAAAATGATTGGATCAAACATGTTTTTTTTCTCTGAGTTTAGTGGCAATTATGAAATTGGAAAAAAAAAATCTATTATCTAGTGAGACTTCTTCATTGATTGCATTACTGGATTTAAAATGCATATACAATTTACAGAGCATTTGAGACGACAAATAGTAATAAAAAATCTGTAATTTTTTTTCACTTGTCAATAGTGTGCTCTTCGAAAAGATATTAACTTTAAATAATTAACTGTATAAGCAAATCTATTTATCCTAGTGTGAAGAATTACAATGGCACTAATAAGTGTTGTTTCAAAAAATTTAGTTATATATCAGAAAACAGTAATTACTACCCAAAAAGCATGACTGGCATAATCGTAATCTACCTTTTAGTTGTTTGATATAAATAGAAAATAGAATCTTTTTTTCACTTTGGTATTTTTTTTAATGGGTTAGGTGTTAATATATACAAAATCAAGAGAGTGGAGTAAATATATCAGGCCTCACTGTAAATGCAATATTATGTATGTTTTACTAAATTTATCATTTATAACATTTAGATTTGAGATCTTACATATTTGAGGGACTTCACTGCTTCCTGCACAGTAATTATATCAGTGCTTTCAGGCCATGGGTATAATTTGTCTGTGTCTTTATATGCTCCTTCATCAACAAGTTTTGCAACACTGTCTTTGTTCTGAATATACCTGTAATGTAGTTTTGCTTACATAAATAGATATACATGTAAATTTATAGGTTTATATGAGAATTAAGGTTAGAACATACCACTGTTTCAGATCGGCTGCGGCAGGTATAAGTGGATTGACCATCAAGCAAGTCCCAACTTTAGTCGACAACGACAATCCTTGATGGCACAAAAGTTGGTTTAAGTAAATGCTGTATCTAAGTAA